AGTCACACTCACGCACGCTCATGTCAGTCACACTCACGCACGCTCATGTTAGTCACACTCACGCACGCTCACGTTAGTCATGGACAATGATGATAATTTTTATAATAAAATTACTTATTATAATTATAATAATGTTTAACAATTACAATAACTTATATTAATTATGATATTTTATAATAAGTATAGTAATTTATATAAATCATAATAATTTATATTAATTATAATAATTTACAATTATTATAATAATTCATATTAAATATAATAATTCATAATCAGCATAATAATAATAATAAATAATAATAAATGATGGTAATGGCCAGGGCCGCTGCGTGGCGATGCTGCGGCTGCTGCTGGAGGCTGGGGGAGACTTGGCCATCAGAGAGGAGCATCCGGTGGACGGGGAGGACGGGTGGTCTGGCCGCCCCTCCAGGGGGGAGGACATTGAGGCCATACAAGTCCCCCTGGCCACCAGGCCACGTCCCCAAGGCCCCAGAGACGCGGAGGCTGGTGAGTCCTAGGATATTTTTCACGTCCCCACGGCTTTCAGATTAGAAAAAATTTTCGGATTAAAAAAATTGGTGAAAATTTCACGAAAAATTAATTTTGTAGATAAAACAATTGTATGGAAAATATTTATATTAAAATTTAATTGACAATTCATTGATAAATTAATTTTATGGAAATGTTTTATATTAAAATTTAATTGATGGTTTCAACTTGCAAAAAATTAATTTTTTTGTAAGTTTTCAATAAAAATTATAACAAATTTTTATGTATGAACAGAATTAGAAAAAAATTTCTTAATAATTATTGTTGATTTTCAGCCTCAGCGTTGGAGTTGGAGCACGAAACTCGGGATCTCAAGGTGGAGTTGGAGTTGAGACGCCGCTCCAGTGGAGCAATCGGGATGCGGAGATCATCTGGAGCCGAAGTGGAGCAAGTGGAGCACGTGGAGCGTATGATTCACATGGCGGCGAGGGTTGGATGTGGTGGATGCCTTTCTCTCCTGGTGGAGTGCGGTGCTCCAGTCAACTCCAGGGTGAGTGGAGTG